GATGTAATTCCATGTTTGAAGTTGACATTTGAAGCATGAATACACACATGAAGAATTCGAAGTCATAAATTGAATTTAGTTGTTTTATTAATTGTACTTGAGCCATTTTGTGTATCATTGATATGTAAATCCTACCAAGGAGCTGTATAATTAGACTGTCTTTTATATATGCCGTTATTTAGCTTGTGAACTCCCTATGTAGGTCCTTAGTTAAAAGAAGGATATAATGTTAGAAAGCACCCTGCTTACTTCAGTTTGTTATAAAGATGCATGTTAAACTAGAGTTGGGTAAATGGATTTCTAATTGTCAGGACAGTCTAATCTCAGCATGCAAACGGTTCGAATTAGGATTAAAACTTGATCTTAAAGTCCTTTCATGACAACAGATCGCCTATTTTAAACTTACAACAGACTGTTAAATAAAATGGTATCATTTTTATCTGTCAGCTTTGCAAACTCACGAATAGGCATAGAAATAAGCAATTAGGCTAATATCGGAATAAGGACAGCCCAAGTCCAGTATAATACCCTACGCATTGGACCCAAGCCCACGATTGGGCAAACGGATGGCCCATACGTGCTCTTGCATTTGGAATCTCATAAATTTTGTCTTTTGTTTGGAGTTCGACTATAACAACTTTAAGTATGTAATGGGACTAAGATCTTTTTCTCTCTTTCATTATAGAGACGGACAAAAATAGAAGAATGTAGTCGCTTTAAGATATCCTTTAAAAAATAAAAATGAGATGAGCCTCGCCAAATAAAAATACGAATTTGCGGGGCCCTCAGTAAATATTTGCTTTAGAATTGTTTAGGCTTCGGGATGGACCGTTTTAGCAAAATTTCACGGCCTCCCAGAATAATGACACGCTAGACGCTTTAGGCGCGTATTTAATAATGTTATCTCCTTAAACTCGGGTGCACATTTATGTGACCCAAATCCAAATCTCAACGGGATCGAAATGTGTCTCTAATTACGGGTACATTGATTGTGACGTGATTTGAGATGCATTTCCGTGACGTTGCAAATTCTTTTTTTTAATAATGAATGAGACGAGCCTCGACAAAAAAAAATGCACAAGCTGCGGGGCTCTCTAAATATATATATTAAAATACTTAGAATTCGGGACATGCCGTTTTAGCGAATTTTACGGCCTTCCCCAAAATAACAATACGCTAGTTGCTTTAGGCGCGCCTTTAATAATTTATTTTCCTTAATTCGGGTGCACATTTATGTGACCCAAATCCAAATCTCAACTGAGTCGAGATATGTCGATAACCACGGGTGCATTGATGTAACGTGGTTCGAGATATGTTTTTACAACGTTGCAATTCCTTATAAATAATAATAATAATAATAATAATAATAATAATTATGAAAGCGGTAAAAAGTTAAAATTTGCACATAAGTTCATATTTGTATAAAATCAGATAATCAAGCCGAATATAACAGTTGAGCGACCGTGCTAGAACCACGGAACTCGGGAATGCCTAACACCTTCTCCCGGGTTAACAGAATTCCTTATCCGGATTTCTGGTACGCAGACTGCAATATGGAGTCATTCTTTTCCTCGATTCGGGATTAAATTGGTGACTTGGGACACCCTAAAATCTCCCAAGTGGCGACTCTGAAATAATTAAATAAATCCCGTTTCGATTGTCCTTCAATTAGAAAAAACTCTCTTGTACCCTCTCGGGTATGGAAAAAGGAGGTGTGACAAGTATAATTTTTCATGAATCCAATAATAACTTAAACTTTTGATTTCAGAACTCAGCAGGGAATCTTCGCTCAATTTCTAGCCCCTGCTTTTGCTTTTGTTGACAATCTAACAGGTCAAATAATTCATGAATCATTAAGCTTTGAGAATTTTTGCTTATGATATATTTTCTCATTTGTAATACAAACGAAGTATTACAGCCCTTCTACGGAGTAAATGTATCCTTTTTCGTAAATCACAAATTTATTGGTATAGGACTCATAATTGATTACCGGGAGAAATTTAAAAATAGCCAGATTTACAACTGGTCGTTCAAAAATAGTCAAATTTCAAAAGTAATCGAAATTTAGCCACTTTTCATGCAAAGATAAATCTGAGCGAAAACACTGTTCAAAACCCGGAAAATACGTCAGTATATTATGCTGGAGTTCTAGTATAAGTATAGTTGAACTCCATCATATTATACTGGAGTTCTAGGATAAGTATGCTTGAACTCCAACATAATATGATGGAGTTCCAGCATAACATAAGTACACTAGAACTCCGGCATAATATACTGGAATTCCAGCAAGTATATCGGTCCAGCATAATATACTGGAGTTTGGAGCACCGGTGCTCCAGTCTCCAGTTTATTTTAAATAAATTAAATTAAATCAGCTTGGACATAACATAATTTCTCTCTTTACCAAAGCCTCACACTATAATCACAATCTTTAGAAACCAGCTTGGACTTAACAGTCAAAGCATCCACCGTTACACCACAGTTAACTTTAACGGTGATTTCCCAAGTCTTAACAGCTCCAATCTTAATCTTAACGGGCGCTTTAATATTCACCCTAAACGGCACTTTCCTTTTCCTCTGTTCATTCATCAACGTCGACTTAACGGCGCTTCCAAGCATAACCTTCGAACCCTTTAACGCCGTTTTAAAAACCGTTACATTGTTCGCCGGCTGAAAAAACGCCGGCAACACCCCGGTGGAGAGGTCAACGCCGGAATATACTACCGTTACAGAGCTTCCTTTCATGTAGTATATTCCGATCTTATCGTTAGGGTTTTCAGCTCTGACGGCAATGTCGAACCCCGGCGAGATTGTAGATGTCGCTGACGTGAAGTTGAAATTCTTAATCGCGATGCTGGAGATAGTATATTTCGGTGACTCGGGACGATACACAGCGTACAGAACTCCGGCGGTTACGCCGAGTACAATTACGGAAACAAGGAAGACGATGAGAGTGAAGCAGAGGCAACGACAGCAGCAGCTCCGTTGAGGTTTCCGTTTTGTGAGAGATTCGTACCGACGAGAATTCTCCGGCGGAGGATACTTGTAGATTTGATCCTTCGGCACTTGAACTACGTAAGTTCCCGGCGGCGGTGGGACAGGCTTCGCCGGCGATGGATATGGCGGTTGTTTTGGTGATACTACTTCACCGGAGTTGTTCGACGACGGTGGATTGCTCGTCGATGGTATATCCACTGGGTGCACTCGATCGGCCATTGTATGTATCGATCAGCAAATCTATAAATACAAAAAAATCGAAATGAGAATTCAGAGTCAAAATTCTCTCTCTATATATCTGTGTCACTGTGTGTGTGTGTGAAAATATAGCTGTAGGTGAAGAGAACGTGAGGGGATGTAATATATGTGCGAAGAAAATAGTAAGCTGTAAGCCTGTAATGGAAATGTAAGTTGAATGTGTGACTGTGTGAAAATATATATACATGTATTGCTTGGCGCGTGCGTGTAATAAAAGAATGCCGCGTGAGATTATAACGCGCAAAAAAAAAAAAAAAACGGGGTATTTTGTTTAACAATTAATNCGCGTGCGTGTAATAAAAGAATGCCGCGTGAGATTATAACGCGCAAAAAAAAAAAAAAAAACGGGTATTTTGTTTAACAATTAATTTCATTTATTTAAGGAGGTGGAGGTTAGGTATTTCTATTTCCTTTGATTTTTTTTTTACAATTCAATATTTTGATATTTTCAATATTAATCGTTGTAAAGCGCAAATGAATAGTAACATTTATGAAATTTAATAAAATATTATATATACAGTCACATCCTTTTTTTTTTTTCAAATCTCACTAAACCATCTTACATAAATAAAAGGATTTGTGAAGTTCAAAAGGGGTTTTAATTAAAAAGTGACAAAATTGTGTTCAAAAGGAAATAACTCAGAGTCACTATCTGACTTTGATTTCGGTGTGTCACGTCACCGTTTTTAAAAAAAATAATTTTTCCTTTAAAACACTTTGGACTCTAAAACTAAGTCTGCACCAGAGATTCGGGTAAGGGGGTTCATTTGACTCGGGGAGAAGGTGTCAGGCACTCCCCAAGTCCCGTAACTAGTACGGTTGCATACTTAATCTAGTCGGCTTTTAAAACATTCAAATTGAGGTAAAATCACAGAAAAGGCAAACACACACACAAGAAGCTCGAGATCGTTCTCACCTAATAAAAGAAAAATAAAAATAAAAGTGTTTCGAGCTCTACTATCGATCTCCAAGTACAAATACTTCGGGACATACCCCAGAATAAATTATACAAATCCTTCGGGGCATTCCCCGGATAAATTTAACTAAAGGAATGACCTCACGCCTCGAGACCAAAAAATCCTAAAGCTTACCTACCCAAATGTGGTCGGTCTAAACATGTTCCTAACGAACAATGTAACAAAATAAGCAAATAAAAGAAAAGAAAAATCTAAATCATGCTCATATTTTTACAATTAATTTTATTTGCTAGACCAAACCCAATCCTAACCGAATCCATGCAGTAATCTTCTAAACATTCAAAGAAAATTTGAAATCAAATGCAACCCTTTCAGCAGATATTGAAATATGCTTTCATGAGCTCTAAAAACTTCAATAAAATACATGTAGATATGATAGACAGACACCTTAAACATAGGCTCTCAGATCTTGGTAAACTAACAAGGACCTAACACGAAAATTCGAACTAAATAATGAAAGAATTTCAGTTCACTACTTAAACTAAGTTCCAAACTTAAACTAAGTTCCATGTTTCAGAAATTTTAAATTGAAGAAACTAATTTTTCTTATGTTTCTGATATTTGAGACAAGTAGGAAAAATGAAGGAATTGATTTTAAAGTGAAGAAACTAACGGCAAAAGAAAATCGAGAAGAAAAGGTCCAAGATCCAAACCAAAACGCATTGTTTCCCCCTTAACAAAGTACTCTATCTATACAAAGATAATGGAAAATTACTAAGTTATGAATCCAAACAGTGGTAAAAGAAGTTTCCAAATTAGTGAGTTGATTTCTTTAACAACCAAGAGTAAGCCATCGAATCCCTCGTACGTGTGTTCCATAATCAAAATCAAAAGAAAGCGAACACATATAGGCTACTTTTAGACCTATAAAATAACTCATACACTCTAATCATACGTATAATAACTAGTTAACACAAAATCAACAACAACTTAAAAACAGGGAATCTAGCACATTCTGAAATCAATCAAACTCCAATCACACCAAAATAAAACAGAGGGAATTGAAAAGAACCTGAGATTAACCTTCCAATGAACAAAATCTATTAATTGCGGCACTGAATCGAGCAAGGTCAAGCCAATCCGGAATGGAGAAATTCAAACAGATCTTCAAGCAGAGACAATGAGCCACGACCAAATACACGAACAACGACTTCAAAAATTCGAACATCCATTCGGCTTTAACTCCATTTCGAACAAAAATCCGGAAGAAGAAACTGATTTTTTCGTATTTTTTGACTTTTTGTAAAATCCCCCTAGAAGAAACTGATTTGTTTCTTTTATATATGAAAAACCGAAAATCCGAAGAGAAATCTGGAAATCCAATATTAAAACCCTAGTTTTTTTTTTCAAAAAAACCCCTTCGGACTGTCCAAAAATCCCCTATTTATAGGAAGCCTAGAAGCTTCTCCTTCCTTCCTCTCCAAGAAACCGAAAATCTTCTCCAAAAAATCCCAAAAACAAAATTCGAATTTTATCTCTTTTTGTGGAAATCAAGGACAGATGGATGGAGTAGATCGAGTGTAACTCAATCCTACGCCTCCCATTTTTCCGTTTTTGCCTAAAAAAGATAAAATAAAAAAAAATGAGGAGAAAACGCGTTCTTCATGATTACGGACACGTGGAGGAAGGAGAGGGGAGTAGAGGGGGGACCATGGGGACTGGGATGAGTGAACTCGGCCGGTTTGCTAAGTTTTTCGGCGAGTTAGAGCGGTGAGGGATGTGGGCAGACGCGTGAAAGGGGTGGGGGCGCCGTTTGGGTAGAGTGACATTAGGGTAGGGTTTGGGAAATATTAGGTTTTTATATTATGGTAGGGAGGAATAGGGGTTGTTGGATCAAAGTGAATGGATGGTCAAGATTAGAGGGTAAAATGGGGCGGGTGACGGGTCGATCCGGCGGGTCAAAGGGGTATTGGGCTCAAGGGATCTGGGTTGAGCTGGTGGGCTAAGGTTGGGATCCGAAATTGGGCCTACAAATTGGGGTTTTAACTCTTTTTAATCCATAAATAAATAAAAACTTGAACCTTTCTTTTAAAATGATTTAAAATTAATTATGATTAATTAAAGTAAAATATATCATACTATGAAACTACATTTTTTATATAAATTATTATATTCAAAAAATAAAAGTGAAAATCATGGTAAAAACAAAAATATATTGCTATAAAAATATTAATAACCTAAAATAAATAGAAATAAGATAAAATATGAAACTATTTTTGTATTTTTCAATGATTATATTAGAATAAAATAGGGTAAGAAATAATATATCTTTCTAAAAATACCTAATATTGAATTAAATAGAAAAGTGAAACTATTTTTATTTATTTTGTTTTATTTTTGTGCCTTTAAAAATAGAATTAAAATTAATAATAAAGTGAAATCATATAGAAATAAGCTCAAATAATATTCTAAAAATACTAGGACTATTAAGGCAGGATATGACGCGACTTAGGGTTACTGAGGACATGGCCCTAAACAGGGAATTGTGGAGATNAGGACTATTAAGGGTAATTCTAATGCGTGAGTCAAAAATTGCATGTCTACAGCTGTCCCTCTTTGATGGGAAACACGAAGTGTTTTCAGACAAAGAATAACAAGACATGTTTTTTGACTCGACCCTTATTTAGAGAGACCAAAACTAAAAGAAAAGAAAATGTGACCGAGCCCTGGTATTTGAGATGCCTACATATTCTTGGCTATAAAAGAATCAGGCCACGTGTAATTCGGAGTAAAATACCGAGGTGGAGAGCCGAGTGAAGTGCCGTCGAGGTTCCGGTCCGCAGCTCCTGCCATTACATCGAAAATAAAAGGGAAAAATTACAGCAAAAATAAAAGAAAAATAGATCTTATTTACTTCTTGTCTTGAATCTTCCGTGAATCTCTACTTGATTTTCAACATGGGACTGAAAAATGGACCATGTTCTTCATACGGGCTCCTGATGCTGCTTGAATTTGCCAATTGAAAGTAACTCTGAAATGAATTCCCTTGTTCTGCAGGTGGGTGCCTGATTGCCAAAACTTGAATTGTATTCCCTTGTTATCCAGGTGGGCGCCTGATTGCCAAAACTTGAAATGTATTCCCTTGTTCACCAGGTGGGCGCCTGATTTCCAGAACTTGAATTGTATTCCCTTGTTATCCAGGTGGGCGCCTGATCTCTAAAACTTGAATTGTATTCCCTTGTTATCCAGGTGGGTGCTTGATTTCCAAAACTTTAAATGTATTCCCTGATTTTCAAAACTTGAAATGTATTCCCTTGTTCTCCAGGTGGGCGCCTGATTGCCAAAAACTTAAATTGTATTCCCTTGTTATCCAAGTGGGTGCCTGCCAGTACAACAAAACAGACGAAATGAAAGAAATTTTTCTGCCCCAGTTTGGAACCTGGGCACATCTGTGAGTGTTAATCGAATCATGTTACCTAAAAGAGCTCTAAGAATCTAAAAGCTAAATCCCATTATCCAGGAGGGCCCTGAAAACTTCAAATTAAATATCATCTTAAGAGTGGCAACTTTAAAGCTAAGTTATATTTCCTACAGGTATGAATTACGTTAAATCTTGTTATCTATGAAGGTTTTGAAATCTAACTAGATCCCATTATCCGGGAGGGTCCTAAGAACTTTTAAAATTAAATCCCATTATCTAGGAGGGTCCTGAGAACTTTTAAAATTAAATCTCATTATCCAGGAGGATCCTGAAAATTTTAAATTGAATCCCATTATCCAAGAGGGTCCTGAGAACTTTTAAAAATTAAATCTCATTATCCATGAGGGTCCTGAGAACTTTTAAAAATTAAATCCCATTATCTAGGAGGGTCCTGAAAACTTAAAAACTAAATCCCATTATTCAGGAGGGTCCTAAGAATTTTAAATTAAATCCCATTATCCAGGAGGGTCCTGAGAACTTTTAAAAATTAAATCCCATTATACAGGAGGGTCCTGAAAACTTTTAAAAATTAAATCCCATTATTCATGAGGGTCCTGAGAACTTTTAAAAATTAAATCCCATTATTCATGAGGGTCCTGAGAACTTTTAAAAATTAAATCCCATTATCCAGGAGGGTTTTGAAAATTTTAAGTTAAATTCCATTATCCATGAGGGTCCTAAGAACTTTTAAAATTAAATCTCATTATCCAGGAGGGTCCTGAAAACTTAAAAAACTAAATCTCATTATCCAGGAGGGTCCTGAGAACTTTTAAAAATTAAATCTCATTATCCAGGAGGGCCTTGACAACTTTTAAAATTAAATCTCATTATCCAGGAGGGTCCTGACAAGCAGAGAATGAACTTACCTGAGCCATGCTCTCTTCTTGGAGGATCTTGAACAGAATTTCTTGCCCCTGAACTATGCCTTCTTCATGGGAGGGTCCCTGTGGATTAACAAATTTTCTTGCCCTTGTTTCAGACAAATAAAATCTTGTTAGTTTGAAAACGTGGTGGTTAGTTTGTGGCATCATTGCCAAGTGTATGCTTCTGACGCGACCGTGCTTCATTCTGATCAGCTGCTCCGAGCCAACAAGGAGTTGTTTGACCTTTTGATTGGAACTGGCCCACAAAACCTCCAGATGACCTGAATCTCTTACACTCACTTGTTGTATTGTGTTTTCACTCTGAAAGTTGTTGAGTCCTTGTATTTTCTCAAAATTCAAGATTCACTTGATTGCCTGAACCTCAGTTGTCACCATACTTCTTATTCTAAATCATGTCAATTGTAATGTGCCTGGCCGAACTCCGCTTTGTGCAATTTAGAAGCTGGTAGTGGGCTTTGAAATCATTTCCTGCTTGTTCAACAAGGACTAACTCGAAAGAGACTCATAAAGATAGATTCAAAAAGCAAAGTAACGTGATTTTTGACAAAAGGAATAAAGGAAAATTTTGAATACAGATGACTATGTGAAGAAGAATAGGAAAAAGAAGACTTATTTGAGTGAAGCGTTGGTTCCAATGATCATGACATGCATTTCGGATTGATCAGCCTAATCCATCCAAACAATCATATTTTCAGTTCATGTTGTGTCTTCATACTTCAAAAACCGGGATTTCACTGATCCAATTTCTCTGTAAAGCCATGAACCTCATTCGACTTGTAGTTCCCCGGAGAGTTTTCACCAACAGGCCTCTCTCATTTGTTCATATCTCAACTCACCATCGCCTTGCGGTGCCCGCAAGGTTTTTCACCAATAAGACTCTCTCATTTTAAATTTTCTCTCAGCTCACCATCGCCTTACGGTGCCCGTAAGGGTTTTCACCAATAAGACTCTCTCATTTTAAATTTTCTCTCAGCTCACCATCGCCTTACGGTGCCCGTAAGGGTTTTCACCAATAAGACTCTCTTATTTTATTTATTTTTCTTTTGTGCCCATGAACAAAGTGTTACCCATGATGTAAATCATACCTCTATCTCTCTTGACTTGGCATCCTCAAAGATTGATCGAAAGGTCTTTCTTTGGACCGTAATGTGGGTTTTTGGACAGGGTTAGAAAGAAAGGACGGCATGAAGGCTCAAAATAATTTAAGATGAAAAGGGTTCAAAATTACAACTTTTAGAATCAGATCTTTTTCAAAATCAAAATTGCTACCCCAGTTTCTTTGAGTTTTGGATTTTATTTTGATGAGACCGAACCGTGTAAGGCTGCCTACGTATCCTTAAAAGGAATCAGGTCGAATGTAGTTCAAAAGAAAGTTGTTTGTTTTTGTTGCTTTTCTTTTTTCTTTTCTTCTTCTTCTTTTTTTTCTTTCTTCTTTTTTTTCTCTTTTTTTTCTTTTCCCTTTTTCTTCTTCTTTTCTTTTCCTTTATATATATATATANAACACCATTGGGCAAGACTCTTGTCACCATGAACGACCCCTGCCAGTTTGGGACGAACTTGCCTTTAGCTTCAGTCTGATGAGGAAGGATGCGTTTCAATACCAGCTGGCCCACTTCGAATTTCCGAGGATGCACCTTCTTGTTGTATGCTCTTATCATTCTCTTCTGATACAATTGACCATGATATACTGCAGCCAATCTTTTCTCATCAATCAAACTCAACTGCTCTAGCCGGGTTTTGACCCACTCATCATCATCAATTTCAGTTTCTGTAATGATCCGAAGGGATGGAATCTCAACCTATGCAGGTATAACTGCCTCAGTTCCATATACCAACAAATAAGGAGTTGCACCTACTGAAGTGCGAACAGTAGTGTGATAACCTAGTAAAACAAAAGGCAATTTTTCATGCCACTACCTATAACCTTGAACCATCTTACGAAGTGTCTTCTTTATGTTCTTATTGGCAGCCTCAATAGCTCTATTTGCCTTGGGGCGATACGGAGTGGAGTTCCGATGCATGATCTTGAACTGTTGGCATACCTCTTTCATCAAATGACTGTTGAGATTAGCAACATTGTCTGTGATGATCACCTTGGGAATTCTGAACCGACAAATGATATTTGCATGAACAAAATCCACCACTGCCTTCTTGGTCACAGACTTGAAAGTTGCTGCTTCGACCCACTTGGTAAAGTAATCAATGGCCACCAGAATAAACCTATGCCCGTTCGATGTTGCTGGCTCAATTGGTCCAATGACATCCATGCCCCAAGCAACAAAGGGCCAAGGTGTAGACATTGTATGTAGCTCAGATGGCGGGGAATGAATCAAATCACCGTGCACCTGGCATTGATGACATTTGCGAACAAAGCTGATGCAATCTCGTTCCATGGTGAACCAATAGTAAACTGCTCAAAGTATCTTCTTTTCCAACACATATCCATTCATA